TGTTGGGTTGGGGGCGGGGTTTGTTTGGGTTTTTTTTACTTACCACAGACTTTCGAATGCTAACCCGTGGTTTTGGAATTGGTTTGGTGGGTTTGTTTTCAAAGCTTTCTGGAAGGGTTGAAGAATGGCCTCCTTTGCGTGCTTGTAGAGCAAGCTGATAGGCAACCTCAAATGCTTGTCCTAGTGTAAGAATTATTTCATAGGCTAAATTCTGGAACAATGGAAAAACATAATTTAAAATTAGTATTGCAGTGAATTAGCATTTATGATTGTTAATTAGGGACAATTTTGCATAGTGACAATTTTGCATAGTGCAGTTGTACCGTATATATGTAAAGTTTACACAAGTCAGTGTTGCTATATAAAGAAATTACAAATAGATCTGATGACTTGCTTGGTCTCTCCCATCTTTAACAGATATGACATAATGCACATGCCTCTGAGGACAATCAAAATACAATTTTGTGATAATGAAAGGGAGTTTCTTGCAAGGTTTAGTTTAATGACAAGACACAGAATTATGGGAGTTTGGTGAAATCACCCCTTCAGAATGTTGTTGTAGCCCTCATGGTCCAGGAAATGTCCCAGAAGCAAGGATTTTTCGGGATATCTTTTATTGGACAATCTGCCAATAACGCCCCCTGTGTTTCACAGGTAATAACTACCCCCTTGTCTAATGGTCTTCCTTTTCACTAACCAGACTGCCTACTCTATTGCACTTCTTTTATCTTACATTTTAATATTCATCCAAGTAAACTGTTTGCATCTATGCAGAACCTCATCCGTGATATATAGTTCAGCCTGCACCTGCTTCCCTCAGACCTGAGGAATGCACTTGACTCCTGAAAGCTTGTCCAAATGGTCTCCCAGTTGCACAGTTGGTCCAGTAGAAGATATCACAAAAAAATCCTTACCTCAGACCCTTCTTAGAACAATTTTATGCATACTGGCTTCCAGCTTGACTGACTCGTCCTCCAGGTACCTCCTGTTTTGTTCCATTGTTTCTTTAACATTCCACCCCAGCTCTACTTCAAGATTGATCTCCTGACCTGTCCTTCAGAATTGGCAGTCTGAGTCATTGTTTCCCAAGTCTAGTGTCTCAGAACATCTTGTGCTGTGTGTGCTATCACAGAATAAGTAACACTTTGAGAAAATCCAAAGGAAATTGTTAAAAGCAAAACCCCCGTGCTTCATGGGTATGCATGGTGGAAAATTGGTGCTATGGCAGTGACTGCCCTTCCTAGGGTTTATCTCATGTTGGAACTAGACAATGCACTTGAGTGATTATTTTCTAATTTAAAACTAGGCTACCAAAAGGCCCTGGGAAAGCACTGTAGAATATTGTGTAGGATATTGTGTAGGATATCTATGAATCTATGAATTGTGTAGGCTACCAAGCAAGCCAGATTTGTCAAGAGTAATCATTACTGGGTAGCAGAGTAACTGGAATGGTAGCAGTTCTTATTGAAAACATGAAAAATAGTTTACAACAAACACTTGCTGAAAAAGAGGTGTTACCTGAACTAGAATTAAGGATTTAGGGCAAGCATATTCTTTTTTGTTTTTGATCCAGGTAGAGTTAGTTCAAATCTGACCAAAACCCAAAGTGCAACTTTATGGTTTCAGCTTGCAACCATGATGGTTTCCATAAAAGTCCCACATGGTTTTGATACAAAGCCATGCATATTTTCTTGAAAAATTCATGAATTCTTCAGCTAACCTTGTTTAAGTGTGCTGTTTCTACCAAAGCCTGAAGTAATGCAAAATATACCTATGCATAAAATCTGCCCTTCATTAGTTACCTTCTATAATTTTATCCTATTACTTTACTTCAAGCCATAAGCTACATTCCCACAGTGGTCATGAAGGAACTTTTTCTCATGCTATAACAGCAACACACTTGAACAGTGGGGTGAAGTCAGCCCTGGTGTAAGCAAAAGCAGATCCACCGACTTTGGTGGAGCCGCATCTTCTGTAAAAAAGGGGACTAATTCCATGAGTTGTGAAGGTGCAGCTCCTAGCATAAATGATGTGATTAATTGCAAGATGGCCCCAGATTTGCATTTGTTTAAATCACAAAACTTTCTTATGAAAAATCCAGAAAGAAAATGCTTAACTTCACCACCTGGATGTGATCACCTGCTGTGATTGCCTCCACTACAACAGATTTCTCATGATTTCATACCATTTACATGGAAATAGTCTTCATAAATTGACAAGAGTACAGTTAACTACTTTAATTTGGAAATACTGGCCAAAATTCGATAGTGCTATGAACATAGCTTGTCAATGCAGTCCTCAACTGAAGCCTGAAGGGATCATTATGATGATTTAGTCTGACAATCTTCAGTTCATGAGTCACAGAATTGAAAGCCTTGCTACAGATGTTTAGAATAACACATTTTATAGCTCAAAATGGAGGGCATGTGCTAATGTTGCAACACCACTAAGCCTTCAGAGAAATCTTGCATTGCTGTAGTGACAGGAAGCCACTATACTGTCTCATCACATTGGATTAACTGTAATGAGAGAATAACTAGATTCATAGAGAATGAACTGACTGACTAACAGGGTATAACAACAGCTCAGAAAGCAAGGAAGCTTATAACTATGGTGCTCTGATAGTTCCTCTGACAGTTATACATACAAAGATCACTGGGACCCCCTGCACTAAACATTTGTGAGAGTGGATGGGAACACAGAATTTACCATACAGAGACCACAAGAAGGCCCTCCTGTTTGGATCTTTCCACCAATCAGGAGCTGGTGCAAATTATTTTGTTTTTTAGTTTGTTTATAAAGCATGATACAACAGCAATGACCAGCAAATATGTACTCCAGTGATTCTCACCAGGTTGCCATGGCACCCTGGGGTGCTGTGACAGCCTTTGAAGGGTCCTGCTGGGAGAGAGGAGGTAAGTGAGATAAGCTTGAGTTGCTAAGTACAAGCTTTTCCTGTAGTCTTCACCAGGTTCAAATAAACCAGGCATATGTGAATGAGAAGAACTAAACTAACTTTATTGTGGGACAGTAGGCAACTTCTACAGACCTTTGGTCTCACATTCTCTCTAATTTACAGCTACCATCTAACTGAGGGACCATCTCCCAATCCCCAACTCTTCTAAATGATAACTTTTATCACTACACTTCCCTGCCAGATGCCCTTCATCCTTCCCAGCCTCTCTTCAAGCAGGTAAACACTATAATAAATTCGTTTTTGAAATAGGATGTCACTGAATTCATAAGAGTTATAGAAGGATGCCTTGAATCTAAAAATATTGAGAACCACTGGGACAGTCCAGCAGTCAGACAGGCAGTGGTCATGTGATTACCGGGGGGTGGGGGAGTATGGTAAATATTTTTTGATATATCTTAGTAGAAATACTGCATTAACTGAATATTCTTAATGAAAACTAAAACATGAATATATAGATAAAGCAAATAGATGATGTATTAAGTTTGCAAAAGCCTTGAAACAAAAGGAAGAATGCAACGGAGTTAAGAGATACTGGATTTTGGTCATTTTTAAAATAAGAAAAGATATTTGCTGAAAAAAATATCTATAGGAAAAATACAAAAGATTTTTCATTTGAAGTATTTTCAGGTCAGGTAGTGGTCTATGTGGTCTACTAGTAGAGAGTGGGGTAGAAACTGCACAAGATTTCACTTGAGTTTCTACTGGACGGCTCCCTTGTTAAGAGCACTGGGGTAGGAGGCAGGTTTGTCCCCTGGTGGAATAACCTGGAGATTTGACACAGAAAATCAGTGGTTGCTCCAATATCTGTGCCAGTTATCTGCCTCCACACTGCCCTTTCAGGCTTTCGGGAAGAGAAATGAAGCTGCTGGAGCTACACTATTCTGTGTAGCCTTCCCCCTTCCCCTAGGGTGTCAGAAGAAGCAAATGAGTAATACTGATGCATGTCTATGACCTGAGAGCTTGAGGAAAATGGATTGTCTTGTTTAAGTTTGAGGCATAACACATCTAGCACAGCACCTAAGCATACCAGCCTGACCCAGTTTACTTGTAGTCCAACTGTGCTATTAGCATTTATAACTGTCATGTTACATTTTCACTGATTTATGCTGTGTGAAAATGTCAGTTGTTTTAAGGTGCCACAGACATTATCGCTGCTGCCTCATTGTATGTTTAAATGTTTAATGTTTTTATATTTTACTGTTTTATGCTGAAACCTCTAGGATATTTGAAACAAGAGCATGAGATTGTATATCCTTTAAGGTTTTGCAGACTTTCATATGAGGGATTTGCAAAATATTTTTAAAAATTGAGCTTTTGGCCTTTTTAAAATAATGTTGATGTATGGTAGGAACTGCAGAATGGGTTCTTGTTTTTTTCTTAGAAAAATCAGTGTCAGTTTTGGTCTTTCCTGATTTTATTGGAGAAAATTCTTGGAATCCCAAGGAATTTTCCTTCAAGATCATCTTAAAAGAAGGGCATCCGTGAGGAATGTGATAAGATCTTCCATTTGTGCCAGGAACTGATCTTAATGCGTGTTGGCAAAGCCAACCAAGAAGACAGCAGACACTTACAGAATCTGATTAAAACATCCTTCTATTGCTATGTGGGATTCTTCCCATTCAGAATGTCATAATTTTTGTAGTTCTTAGTTGCAGCAGAGTTTTCAAGGGCAGACAAGAACTGAATTTCTAATGCTAAAGAGCATCAAGAACTCATTTTAAGACCAAAAAAAAAAAATCAGAGCTACCTTAATCTACCATAAAGGAGCAGTAAAATAGAACAAATCCACTTTCCCCTTTAAGGTCACCTGAAACATCCTTCTCTTCTCCATTCCACACAGACCCTAATCCTCTTTGAACATTCAGTGCAAGAGCAGCGGGAAGGAGGTTTCAGGTGCAAGTTCGGTCCTTAGCATGAATTGGAGCAGGGGGCTATTATAATTAATGCCAGTTGCCTGTTATAGGAGTTGTTACAGCAGCCAGGGAACAGCTAAGCAAAACAATATTTTGAGCGTGCACCCTGTAGTGAATTTGGGATTAAGTAGAGGATCTGCCATGGTGGCTTTTTGGTTGCTGGAGGACCCCTTGAGACGGGAAGAAATCTTTCACTAGAACGTCGAGTCATTTAGGGCTGCTTTGTACTTCTGAACGGGCACAAAGCCGCCTTTATGAACTAATGGACTCACTTGTAAACTAATCTTTAAACCAGATTCTTTTTTGGGGGTGGAGAGTGTGAGGGGAGGTATTTTTATGCAAGAACATTACTCTATAGTCATGTACTTGGGTGCATACAGCTAGTATGTCTACAGCACTCAACTACGATTCCAGGCAGTGTTGTGCTGGGAGAAGCCATCCTTGGTCCATGTTCACTACCTCCTGCACATGAAGTGGTCAAGCCACCATGGCACAGGGTTTTGTGTGTGCCTCTTTGCAGAGAGCTTTCCCAGAGTCACCCCAAACCCTAAATATCAACTCTATTTGTAGCTTGCATTGTACTTCATTGCATTTAATTTGAATTCTGTTCTGCAAAAGTGTTTGATAGCTTCAGGTTTTTTCGTTTTGTTGTTTTTTGGGGAAATTTTAAGGAGACCTGAAGTTCTTTTTTTTTCTATTACTTTGTCAGCATGCAATTTAGTTTCTGTTGTCACACTATATATACCTACACGTATAAATCGATATAAACGTGAATCTTCTACTGACACTGCTAGATTCACATGGAAGAGCTGTCATGGTGTGCATGGGTATGTGACTTTTCTGCAAATATTCACAAATGTGGTATGTAGCCTACACTGCACTGTTCTAGGGGCAAAAACATCAAGTTAGCATAGGAACAAAAAAGCATTTGACTTTAAACAGAATGGAACTGAGGTATATGTAAGTTGTGCACATGTAGGTATTTTTTTCTTGGAGGTTTCATTGGAAATGATATACCCAGAACAACAAAAACACAACACAAAAAGAATATCTGAATAGGCAGCACCCTGATGGGAACTATGTAGCAGGAGAATACTATGTGAAGACAGTCGGACATTAAAAGCTATTGGTACAGCTTAAAATAGCCATTATAAATGCTTGGGGCATTATGCACAACCCCTAAGGTGAGGAAAGTGAGCAAAATGCTGAAATTACTCCTGGATCACTAGTCTTCACTTGACAGGCAAAGAGACATGAATTACAGTTACTATACCTGGGATTATAAATGTGTGTGTCTGCATATGATGATTAGGTTTATGGATGAAATACAATCCATGGTAGCTATTCAGGAACATTGCAAAGGATTGGGAAAACCAATAATGCAACTTGATTTAATCAGGCCAGTCCTAGCAGGTTCTCATCATTAATATCCCCCTCTTTAATTAATAACCCAGCAGCTTGTTGACCAAGGCCTTTCTAATTTTTAAATAGTTTTAAGTTTGGTTCTATTCCCTATCTGCATTAAAACCATAACAGAGACATGTGAACTAATAAAATCATATAATCAAAATGCTAAACTTCCTTCTAAACTTCTTGCAATGATTGTAATTAAATTTAAACTTTCTATATACTTTCCTGTTCAGCTAGGTTGCTCCATCTTCAGAGCTACAGAAAAAGTAACCTGCTGAGGTATATCTTAAGTAGTCCTGATCTAACTTCTTTGCATCCATTGGAGGAAGCTTCAGGAATTAAATATACAATATGCTGTGTCAAAGAAGTATACACATTTGTAAGACAAACAACACAAGAGGAATTTCAGCTTCTACTGTGTAATGCATATTTATTTATTTTGTACTGCAGTAGCAAGAGCTGTAGGGACTCTTGTTGGATATAAGATTTAAGAGCTGAAGGCAGGGAGAAAACATCTTTTGCTGCCACTTCTGACCTGGCCCTTGTTGCAGGCCACAAATCTCCACTTCACTTGGAGCGCCCAAGCTGCTTGTAATTCCTGTCTCCACCGATCCCCTCTCCCCAGTGGCAATGAGGGCGGCAAATTCTGTGGTGAGGGTAACACAGGTACAAGAGCATAGTGCAACTGTATGCCTCTGATCTTCCCTGTGCTGCCTTTGGCAGGATCCAACCTCTTCACAGACTGGATGTGGCTTTGGGCTGAAGGCTGACAACCCCTGCTGTAAGGGGTAAAGTTAAAACCCTCAAAGCTTTAAGCTGCCACTTTGGCTTCTCTCCAGAGAAATTATATAGCCACAAGACAAATTTTGAAAACTTTATAGGTTAAGGCTTGAAAAGTCACTGCTAGAATAGAATTTTCAAAGGACCCAAACCTGCTTTCCTTGTTCACTAGAATTCCTGCTGGCTTCACAAGGAAAGACGCATGACGTGCAACATGAAGCAGAGGGACACTTGCACATACTTTTAACAACAACAGTGTTTCTTATTAAATCCAGTGGTATTGTTCAAAGCTACAATAAGAAGAAAACTGCAAGGCTGTGCACAGATCTTTGTTTGCGCTGCTATGTTTCAAACCACTTGAGAAACTGTGATAGCTAGTTACCATGGTGTCCTCAAGACCTCTTGAGATATGTATGGAGCCTTGTAGTTTGGCTAATTGTGTGGTTTCTTAAATATGGAATTCAAGTATTAATGGATAGGAGTATTTACTTTCCACAAATTAAACCAGATAAAATGTATTATGTAACTCTTCATACACATTTGGTATCTTCAGCTTTCCTATTTTGTGACTTGTAGCACTTACCATAAATAAAAAGCGCACATACTTATTTTTGCGCATATAATGTACCCCAGAATATTACACACACCCATTTTTGAAGGACCCCACAACAGGAAAAAAAAATCTCACGTTGGAGTAGTGAGTGCCAGAGGTCTGGAGGCTGCCTGCTGGGGCCAGCCCAATCCAGCACACCAGCACCAGGGCCACAAAGCACAGTGGGACATGATTCAACATGCTACATAGTAGGCCCCAATTTGGGATGCAGTTTTTGGGTCCAATCCTGCACATTGGCTCTGGGGCCCTGCACAGTCCTGACTTGGACTGCTCACTGGCTCTGGAACAATGTGCTGGGTCCAGGGCTGTGTGCTTGGTTGGATCTGGTGCACTGAGTCTATCCATGGACCAACTTCAACTGCAGTCCTGATCCAGCATGCAGTGGGGAAGGCGGGCTCCTCCCAGGTCCAGAAACTTGGCAGCAGAGGGGCAAAGGGGGAAAGGGAAGTAGTGATGGTAGTGTTAATTGCCATGGCTCCTAGAGCTGCAGCAATTAATGCTGCCGCTGCTCCAATACTTCCCCCCCAAATTTCCAGACTCATAGGGAGTCCTTTTCCTCATACATAATGTGCACCCCAATTTTCCCCAGCTAGTTTTGGGGGGGAAAGGATGAAGGTTATATGCAAAAAAATGGTAATTTCTAGAAACAAGGAGCTTGATATTGCAAGCTGTTGATTCTGTCCTCACTCAGTAAAATGGCACAGTACCAAGAATTGTTGAAAAAAGTAAAGCTGGAAGATCAAAGGTCCTCTTAACCCTTGCAGCCCATGGCATTAACTTGGTTAAAATGCACCAGTTTTTGTAGCCCATGGTGGAGACTGGAGTGATGTGATTAGCATCATGTCTGGTCACTTGACGCTTCAACCAGATGACCACCTTCCCATTTGCAGCTGGGTCAACTGCAGGTGGCCTTTGAATTCTGGAGCTTGCAAGATGCCTTAACCACCCTACTACTGTGCCTCTAAGGGGATGTTAAGAGACCATCCTGTCCATCCCTCCACACTGAGGGGGGATAATGTGCAGTCCCACTGACTTCAACAGGATTACTTTCAAACTTTAGGTTAGCTTAAGTGACCACTACTTTGCAGGACTGAGCCCAATTTAGGAAGAGTACATCAGTTAAACAGTTTTGTGTAGCATGCTGGGTTTTTTTTTTTCAAAAAAGAGTAATTAAGATTGTTACTTCTTTCTAAATTCCCTGAGGTTTCTGTGGAAGCGACCAAGCCTGTGATAAAAGTAATTGCTTATGAGGCAGTCCCCTACACAGCAAATTAAAAGAATTGTATGGTAGGGTTGTGAAGAGAGCCATTTGCCAAACCTAAAATTGGAGCTAACAGCTGAAAAACAACATGCAAGTTGTTCCAGAGGAAACATGATCTTAAAATAAAGGAGTGAAGGGAATCCTAGGGACCTCAAGGGCCACCTAATCTAACCCCTTTCACTGATGTAGGATATACTGTTTCTAAATTGTTCTAGAAAGCTGCATATTCTGTTAGTGAGTTAATCTCAGAGAGAATTTTTGCTCTCTTACAGCGGTATCACTCCATCACCTGCCAGCCTCATTTGAAGCATTTTGCTCTGTTACATGTGCATCATCTTTAATTATTTTGTACTGGGAACATTTAATAAAAAAAGTAATAGCCTCTATAAACTGACCACGTCAAATGCAGTGAATACATGGCAGTAGTGGTGGTTAGTCTTCAAGTCTTTAGTGATGTAGGCAAATGTTGAGAGGTCTTCAGGATCTTGTGCAGCACAAGAAATGTTGCGGATTTCATGTTCAGCAATAATATTCTGCAAAAAAACAATAAAACAAAAAAAAACAAGACTGTTTCCCCCCATAATCATATGAGTTAAATTCAGATGCTTCTCAAAGACTGACTTTTCTGTGTTTTAAAATTTTTTTTTACTCTCTGTACTAAAATATTTCAAGAAGTATTGAATCTTTAGTGTGATTTGTTGTTCCGAGCCACGGTGTTCGGGTAGCCCCTTGCTTGCTGTCGCTTTCAGTGTTTAGGCTGTTGGTGTTTAGGCACTCCGGAAGGCTGGTGCTCGCAAGCAGCCTTCCTGAGTCCGGGTATGATGCAGAAAGATTGATTTGAATTCATGTTTGGTGGTAAAAGCTCAGAGAGATTTATTGTCACTCAGACAGTACACTGGCTGGTCTGTTTAGCAGTCAGTCCAACTCAATAAAACTGCTGGGACAAGATAGTAACTCCCTGCATTAAATATGCTCCCCTACACAGAAGCAAACAATGCAGCACCCCTGTTTATACCCCAAATGTCCAAGCTTGTGTGTAAAGGCATATCTAACCTTCTATCCTGTTATCTATTTCTATTTGTCTCTTTGCCAAGCTCATACCTGGCCCCTTTGGTTCGTCCATTATCTCCGCACCTGCACTCATTAATTTTCCTTTAAACCTACTGCTCCTTTCTCATACCAGCTTTTCTGCTTGTTAATGAATTTTTACATCTCTTCTCAGTTCATCCAGAGGTCACCAAAGCCTATTCTTCCCAGGCTCCTTTTCAGTGCCTTAGCTTAACTGTGGCTTAGCATAACTATGACAGTTTAGCATAACCGGAAGTCCAACATCAGCAGGAGGTAGCAACCCCCAGCATGGGTACCAGAGCATAGCATGCAAAGGCATTTTGGTTGGCATGTGCGCCTGGGGGCAGATGGCAGGGAAGGGGCTGGGGCTGTGCTGCCACAATAAGGATTGGGCCCCTCATGGCTCCCCTGCCATCCACCCTGGCACACCAACATCTTACAAGTCAAGTCTGAGGGTGTTTTTGGTACCCTGCCTGAACCCTGTCCTATATGTTTAAAACATCCCACACTCAACTTCTTGCATTGACCACTGAATTCTGACCCCTCCACTGGCATCCCTCGGGACTCTTCAGAAAACTGCAAAATATTACACTTTTTCCTATAGTTCTGTCTGCCTTTGCAAATAAGAGTCCTGCACAATTTACACATCCTGAGACAGAGGCCTCTTTCCTGGGAAGTGGCTGGGAGAGTGACTGAGTTAGACAGTATTAATATTCTGTTCCTACATTTCTTGATACCATTGTTTGTATTAATAATCAATATCTTGTACCACGGCAGCCAAAATGTAATGGCTCAAGGCACAGCATACCAGATGCTTGCTGTAACTGTTTGCACGTCTGACTGAATTTCTTTAAACTCATCTTCCAACTCAAATAAAAGAATAAAATTACTAACCATAGTATAGAAGTTAAAGTCATTTCTATTAAAGTGAGAGCTAGCAGCCTATCTCAGTTTACTGCAAACAACATTGTGTAAGAAGGAGAAGAAGAAATTAAACTGTTTATGTAAAGAGGAATACTACTTGTAATAGCCAAATTGAAGTATACCATACTGCATACTGAGCATATTTTGTATGCATATTATTGAGGTAGGATGGCCTGCCTGACGTATTTAAAGTTCTGAAGAAATTATGAATATTTATCTACGTAAAATACCTATATAATAACCCTTTTTTGGCTAACAGAGCCAGGAAGACAAGAGAAGGAGACTGCATTACTGCTTTAGATTTAGACCCTGACTTAGCAAAGCATATGCCCAATATGATTTCCTGAATAAGGGTGGCTTTAGTTGTGTGTTTACAGGCTTTGCTGCATCTCCAGATACAAAACTGTCTTGCTCCCATGTGACATCTCCACTGCATTCAAGTTAGAGGTCGCTTCAGGCAACTCAGCAAGATCTTAGCAATACATATAATATCTATAGAATCAAAGTCTAGCAGATCTATAGCTAGTTTGCTGGGTTGCTAACATTTATGCAAATTAAAGGCATCTTTGGCACATCTCGCTCTTTCTTGTTTATAGAGAGAGTATACCTCACTTGGTCATTTGAGTCTCTCTCATTCTGCCAAGATGCAACCTCCCCCTCATACATACTTGGCAAGTGTTCTGAAAAGAATATTAATATCTAATTGAGGAAATAATGACTGAATAAAATCTGAATGAAAGGGCAGCATTCCAGGTTTTTTGTTTCAAATTATGCAAAAGTCCAAGATAAGGACATTGTAACTGAAGACAACATAATCCTCTTAATCTTAAATTGTTACAGAATATATTATTTCTATATAATGTACTATTCACAGAAGATCACAAAATCAGAGATTATACCTTAACGGACAATACTTTGTAAAGAGCTTTATACTTTAACAGTCACTTGATTTTGATATTTTAAGCAAAATACAGCAAGTTCCCCCCCTCCCCACCCCCCCCCCCTTTTTTTTTTTTTTTTTTTTGTAGTGCCTTTATTCACAGTTTGGGAACTGCTGGATTAGATAAAGATTGTTATCGCTTACTAAGAAGCAAGGATTTAGTTACCCACAAATAACATTTGATACATTGCCATATGATGCTATGTTAGTAATCTTTCACTTAAAGATGAAAAAGAATTCAATTTAGAACTGTATGGAGGACTGATCCCCAGACAACACTCACCTCATTTCACTTGCTATACATGTGAAAATAACCTCATTTCAGAAAACGATTTCCTAAAAACCATGCATCTCTTTATGACCCTGGCTCCAATATTGAATAAACCTATACTGAAATAGGGCTGTGTATAGAAAATTATAGGACGCTGGCAGACTTTTAACTTCATAATCAAGTAAAGTTTTGTAACTTATATTGAATTTACTTTAAATACAAGTACCAATCATAAATTCCTAGGAGCCAAATGTAACTGCTAAATTCAGTTTATATGTAGTACTCAGAGTTTCCAGTGATTATTTCTACAGTAGAAACAAATATCCTTGTGGCACAGAGTTTGCTGTTGTGGGGTGCACGCCTCTGGCACGGGCCAAGGGTGTGTAAGGTTCCGTCTCCACAACCTTACCAGCTCTGAAAGAAGCAAGACTGTGGCTCAGATGGTGACTTTTAAGAATTACAGTTATTGTAAAATAGCTCCTCTTCCCCCTTCCTGAATTGTCTCAGAAGCTTCATTTTTCACAAAGGCAACTTAGCAAAATTGGTTGTCCAGGAACTAGAGTTATATGTGACCAAGAGAGAAATGGGAAGAGAGTTTTTCTAAATCCAGCAAGGCTAATTACAGACAGTCAAAAAGCCCAAGGCTGAATCCATTCAGCCTTTGCAGGTTAGTCTAAACTACACAGATTAAACTGACTAACAAGTGAACAGACAGTTACTTTTTACAGCCACATGCCTGCAGTGACTCAGGCCAGGAGCCAGGGGGCAATACAGCATGACTCTCTGGCATATAGCCAGCATGGGCTGTGTTTCTTCCTCTTCCTGCTGCCCCTGAGGTGTCTTGGATTTGCAGTCCAAAATCACAGTAGCAGGACTCTGCAGGGTTGCTTATCACTTCCTCTTCCTATTTCCAGGTGCCTCTGGGATTTTTAGTCCACAGTCATAGCCAGCAGTAAGTTTAGCAGGGCAGGGCAACTCTGTACTTGGGGGAAGAGGGGTTTAACCCCCCGTTCCTTGCCCCAGACCCCAGCTGGCCTTTGCCAGAGCGGGGATGGGGTGCAGTCCCTGCCTTCTGCTAACCTCCCCCCCCTCCCCCCACCAACCCTTCTCTGCTGGAGCAGACAGCCCAGCCCAGCCCAGGCTGGAAAGCATGCTGGGGGACTGTGATTTAACTTTTACCAGGAAGGGGTCTGGGACAGAAGTTTCATACACTGATTTGACCCAAACCAGTTAACTCTGATAAACCTGGTTGAATGTAGTATCTTAAACCAGTTTCAGCCATTTTGACACTGGTTTATGTGCATTGAACTTCTCTTCTGCTATAGGTTTAAACCAGTTTCTGATGACTGGAACCAGTTTATGTGTAACTTCTGTCCCTAGTCTAGGAGACTGGACTTTGACTTGGCACCATTAGCCACTGATACAGCTTTCCTGGAATGAGTTCCGAGTCTTCCTTTGACCTGAGACCCCATTTTATCATTATATCTTAAGAGTACAACATTTATTAATTGGAAATGGCTTTTCTCTTAAATGCTGTGGATGGTGTGATCTATGAAATATCCTCTATGCTTGGAAGCCCTTGGCCTGAGCTACTCTATAAAACCACTCTCCTTTCCAAAGTTTAAGCTCCTCTTAAAATTCATTTCTAATGTAACACGAACATTAAACTGACTGGCTAGGTTAAAGAATAAGAAGTGACGGTATGTAGGCCAGATCGACCAGTGTGGCATGGCTACTCAGCAGGCACAAAAAAACCCAGTTAAAAATCCTACTAAACTGATCAGAAAAGCTGGGCTGATAACTGCCTTTTGTTGGACTGCATGTTAAATTTTAGCTATTATTGCCATTCACATTAATTTATGTAGATTATCTTTTCTTGTCATTTTAGAGGTCTGCAAGGGGGGAATCCTCTATAAAATATTGATTTGGCAAATATTAATTTTGCTGAGCATCAAACTATCCCCCCTTTCAGCACAACGTTCTCCTGACTCTCAACGTAAGCCATTGCAAAAACATAATGGAAGAAACCTAAACAAAATGCAGATATAGCTGGACATGGCAGGATGAAGAAATTATGAGAATCAAATCAATTCTGGAGAAGCTGTTGTTGCAGTTCAGGGAGGCTGATTGCTAGTACCATTAAAGCCCACAATCCCCATTGTAGGTAGGAGCTTGAAAGAGGACCTACCTGCCTGTTTATGTGGCTGAAGGCTGATCTTGTATAAAACCCCAGAATTACTGTACTTATTGGGATATGGAAAAGCAACTGTTTTGTTTTTTTGAAAGACAGAAAATATAGGCTTTCTGCTTGTTTAACATACCGCTTTGGACAGAATATGTTGGAGGATTCTGTGGAGGGGAGAGGGGGCATTCTGCCAAGCTCTTTTTGTCATGAGCTTCCTTTTTGATAGAAGAGGGCTGGACAGAGCTCCCTCCAGAACTGCCATCAGTGTCACTCTATTTGTCTATCAGAGTGGGTGACAAAAGCATTCTAGTAATTTAGAATAGGAATGACTAAAAGGGGAACTTGAAACCCAAAGCCTGGCCCCCATCCCATATGGCTTTGTGCTCTTACTAGATAACCCAACCAGTGCAGTGAGGAAAACCATTGGATAGCCAAAGAGTATACATACCTTATTCGTTGCATCAATAAATTTGACTCCCTTGTAAGAGACTGATAGAACAATAGTAGGTACTTTCTTCATTTGCTCTGTAGACTTCTAAAATAAACACGAGGGAGTGTTAGAACTGTTTGTGTTTCAATGGCAAGTGCAGCATGTCTAATCCCCCCTTCTCTTCTGTAAAAATATACATGAGTTATACAAAATGTACTTAATTTAAATATTTGACTCTCTCTGTTGAGTTTTACTGTGCTTTGGGCTTTTGAAACAGCTGCCTTATAGTTATGAATCTGAAAAGAGCTTCACAGCTAGTTGAGGAGGATGAGAAAATACTACTCCCTTTTCCCAGCTCCACAGGAAAGAAAAAAGGAAATCAGTGTACCACAGAAACTTAAAAAGGAGGCAGTCATATAATCAAAGATTTCCTACAATGAATGTAGGTTTCAGCAATCTATCATTCTCTTTATGTGCTGATATGCCCCATTCATCTCAGATCCCCCTCCCCAGCCAAGCTGTACCACTTTGGTAGTTTTCCTAGAATACATAACATGAACACACTGTGTATTTGCTGTAGGACTGGATGTGGCGGGAGTTGTTATAATCTGTTGTTTAAAAAAATAAATCACCTCCCAAAGGGTGGCTTTGTAGCTCACTGAGCTTGCTATATCTGCCAGTCCAGCACTATACTTTGTACTGTCTTGCTCTAAGCAATTTTCTAAATGTGGCTTCTACTGGGACCACTTTACACACGAATTAAAGTATAGGGCCTATCCTGCTTTGTTGATGAACGTACAGTTCCTGACATCTTCTTTGTAAGCCTGTTTTATTTTTGTGCTGTTAAGGTTCCTAAATACCCATGAAAATGACGCATACAGTTAAGAAATGACCTGCCCAAGTAGAATGGACATCGTGTTTGGCTATAAACTAAGGAATTTAATCATCAGACTTTTTGGAGAAAATGTTGAAGGGTGAGCGGTGTAAGTGTATTAAAAATGAAGTCAAACATATGTAGCTCCACAGAAACTGACTTTGAATTTTAGTAAGGAAGTATGAGTAAGAACATTTTTCCATGCAACACCTGCATAGGCTAGATTATAGTCCAGCAGATGGCTGGTAAATCAGATACAGATACTGCCCCTTTTCCACAACAGTATGACAGGGAATTACATTTTCTTGAGAAGAAAGCATAAATTCAGCTGTAGTTTAATTATGCAAGTAAGAACAGCAGAATCGGAGAGAGAACAAGCAAGCAATGGCAAGAATTGAACAGAATAAATTCCATTATTGATACAATTGTATAAACTTAATAAGAAACATAAACAGCATAGATAGAAACTTGGAAATATACAGTATCTAGAAATAATGGTCCAAGATCATACTGCATTTCTAAAGTATTTGAATGACTAATAATCATGATCCTATTTCTCCCTGCATAGGAGCCACAAAGCCAGTAAGCTGCAAATATTCTTTATGCAACTCTCTCTTAGCCAAGAAGCAAGAAAAAAACAAGTCTGTGACAGGGGGAGATCTGGATTATGGCCCCTGCTCTTAATGCTATTTCTGCATGTTGCCTTAGTCACTGGATAAAATTATATAAACAGCACTGGGAATGGGGGCTACAACCTTCCTTCCCAAGTGAGTGCTCTCTTCACCGAGGAACAGAGTCAGGTGCTATCATGGATGCTGCCCTGGCTCCTTCTGATTTTTGCATTCCTTTCTGCCTGGTAGCCTAGATTCAGCAGACAAGAGGATGCTTTCAACCGCTCCTAGCCCATGGTAGTTAGGGCAGTTTCCTGGGAAGCTGGAAATATGGATCCAATTGCTCTCTGAGTAAGTGGCCAGAACTTAGAGCTGTATAACTCAGGTCTGCAACTTCTTTGGAAAGTATCCTAACTGCTAGGCTAGAGGGCAAAATGTGGATGGGTCAACCTCCTTCTGTTGGGCGACCTTGATAGAACAGGATCGTAATCCTGAGGTGAGCTGCACAGTTCTAGGGCTAGTGGCAGCAAAGTCTTAGATGTCTCAGAGGCAGAATAGAATATGGACCAATACATCTGGGAAATAAGTAGGGCTGACAGTAGATAGCATGAGGTTGAAGGAGGGAGCCAGTGATTAGATCTTCTATCTAATTGCATCTTGCTTCCTCAGGAACCAAACAGGACTATACATTTGTGCTAGCCAAACAAAATTTAAAACTATATGTCAAGGCTAAGGTTAACTGTCTCTGATGATCTATTTTAAAGTTAACTCTCTCTTAATGTATTTATAAGAGAACGTTGTATCTCTTAGTAACAACTTGTGACAGACTTAATAGGGAAGTCAGGTGCCATTTTATATGGATAAAGATAATGTTAACAAGAGCTAGATTTTTTTTTCATTAATGAAAGCTTCTGGAGAATGAAAAAAAATCTGCGTCAAGACAGTAATTCCAGCTGCATGCATGTGTGCGCACACACATGTACACGCATACACGCACGCACGCACGCACACACATTGTGATGGGGACAATGAGTGCCTGTCAATGGCATGTGTTTGAATAAATTTAAAATATAAGCCTTGCTATAAAACTCAATGGCAATTCACAAAAAGCATAGCAGTGAATGTGTGAAATCTCTGGTATCCCTATCAGACCAGCAACCAACACACTCAGCAGACACTGAGTTGCAGACAAAATATTCACAAATATGACAATACAGATTGAATGATCTATCATGCAACCCAACAATCATCTAGCTTTTGTCCTTTTCTTTCTATCCCAACAGCTAACTCTTTCATTTGGAATGCCTCTGTCTCCCATCCTGATTACTGAAATTTCCTCTTCTTTGGTCTCCCTAACAATAATATCTACCCCCTTTTCTACCCACACAAAACCAGGCAACTACGTTCTTTGCCCATTCATCCAATTGTGTCATCTTTGCTTTGAATTTCTTTGCAGGTTTCCCTTCCTTGCCCATATCAAATTCAAACTTCCTGTCCTTGCCATAGCAGATCTGCATAGCTCTGTCCACTTTATTTATCCATCCTAGCTGTTTCTTTCACTTGTCTCCTTGCTCTGTCATTGATACCAATTTTGACACAACATTAGTCTATCTTGCACATGCGTCCCCCACTCCAGCTCCCCCCGCTCAATGTGCCTTGAACTCCCCCTTCCTAATCTGCTCTATAAACCTCTATCCTGGCTGCATTCAATTTTCTCCAAACACTGTTTTAAACTACATAACTTAGGTGATCTGATATAACCAGGGCTAGACTATATTTTTAAAACAACAGCAGCACAGGCCAGTCTACATGAGATGCTGACTGTGCAGTCGTTTAGTACTTGTATAAACAAATATGATGTCTCATAAGGATATTCAGTCACAAGCGCTGGGCATTTGCTCTGGGTAACAGTGGAAAAATATACAGTGCATAAGGAGGACTTACTGTACATCAGTTGATCTCTGGTAACTTTTATGGGTCTGCTCTAGCCCATTCTAAGTGGAACCTAAACTAGGACAGTTTACTTGTGAATGAAACAATGGCTAAGTTATCCTAGTTTAACTTCCACTTACCAGAGATGAATATCTTCAGGGACCATTTGTGATTTGCCATGGGTTGTCTGCCAGGTGATTACTGTCTCCTGGGAAATGAGCCAACATGGTTACGCCATGTTACCGGTACTGCAATCAAAACTGAATAGCCTCTAGGCCAGAAGAGGGCAATTATTTCAGCTGGTGGGCATTAGAGTGAACTGTCGAGGGTCACTCGCACAAAGTCTTTCAGATGATATCATTTTAACAAGTTATAAATAAAAAACAAATGAAACTAAAAATCAAACATCTATAACATTTCAATTTTGTTTAAAACAATGTCATCCTTGTTTATGTTTTGAGTAGCGTACTTAGAGGTGATTGTATAATAGCTCAAATAAAGTCTTACTCTTGTATATTGTGTGGGGGGGTTGGTTACGTGGGAGTGGGCGCTTCCAGCTTGTTCACTATCTGTCATGATTTTCACTATGGAGTTTCAAAGGACAGGTAAGAAGGTGAGTCTGCACACTTAGATGTTAAGTCCCACATCTTTCAGGGGTCCAGTCTCTTTCATTTGTAGATGGACCAGGTAGGTTTCCACACTTGTCTGTAATGTGTCCATGATCAAGAAATTTGTCAGGGAGAGCATGCTGCCTCCTCTCCTTAGGATTTTCAGGTTCAAGATATCAGATTGACTCTGTAACATTATGACATTATACTGCAACCTTCCTGTCTGTTCAGTGTCTCAATGGGAAGCAGATGAAATTCAGGGCAGCTCACAGGTCAACTCCTAAAAAATGACATCATATATGAACACCAGTATATGGCCTTATACTCCATGGCCAATCTGTACTGTAAGAGTAGCCTGCTTCCTGGGTTATTTCTGTTTTCTTTTAATGCAATATCTACCACAAAATGCATTCATAATCCCAGGAGCAGGGGTAGAGCCCAGGACTTCCTCTCCCAGATGAGTGACCTATTAGGCTACCAAGTCACAGTCCCTCTTGCTTGCTCCCTTTTAACCCTATGAATCATTAATTCTTGGATGCACAGTGACCCCACTTTCATAAGAAGTTATGGCACTCTCCTGGATAAGGCCTCTGACCAGCAGCCATTATAGAAAAGGTGAGCACCTTTCCTCCTATGACAACAGCAGAAAATCGGCTCAGGGTATTGAGCTTTGTACGGGATTTAATGCCATGTAGGCGTTAACCTAACATATTTGGCTATTTCAGCTGTTTCAATTTAGGTAGTTTCACAAAAAGTCTCATTTGGGTGTTTAGTATACCAATCCAGAAAAGACCCCAGTGTGTAAAAATCCTAATGACTCCAACATAGCCTTTGAATCTTTTAGGGAATGTTCTTCAGTTGAAGGACTCCTTCCTTTTAAAAATATAAGCCCCCTGTACTTGCAAACCCTAAAAAAGACTCGTGACGATGATCAACCTTACATCTGCGTCTGATGAGGCTGCAATCCTGTTTTAGTGACCACTAAGCCCTTTTGTATAACTTTCATTTCTTTCCTGTTCTTCTATAGGATCTTCATCAGAAAGGGAGATATTCTCTATATTTGAGAAAATATATTTTGTG